CATGAACAGGATAATTAAGAAGGCACGTGGGACACTTGCTTTCATCAGTCATGGCATAGGGTATAACAGCAAGGAGGTAATGTTGTTGTTGTACAGAGTGTTGGCCAGACCACAGCTTGTGTACTGTGTGCAATCTGTGATAGCACTAGAGGGGGTACAGAGGAGATTCACCAAGATTTTGCCTGGAATGAAGAAATTGAGCTATAAAGGACAGATTAAACAGACTTGGGATTGTTTTCTTTAGAGCAGAGAAAACCGAGGAGGGGACATGATTGAGACGTATCAGATTATGAGGGGTACGGACAGGGTGAATAGAGAGCGGCTGTTCACCTTGGTTGAAGGGTCAATCATGAGAAGGCATAGCTTGAGGGCAAGACGTTCAGAGGCGATTTGGGGAAAATACTTTTTCATTCAGCAGGTGATAGTAATCTGGAATGCACTGCCTGGCAAGGTAGTGGAGGCTGAAAACCTTACAACCTTTAAAAAATATTTGGATGAGTACTTCAAATACCGTAATATTCAACAACATGGGACAAGTGCCAGAAATTGGGATTAGCGCACCTTTACTAGTAGTTAAGTCAGTGAAGACTCAATGGGCCAAAGGGCTGTATGAATCTATGGTCCAAATTCAAACAGGGACTGAACAATTTGATACTGAGTTTTAGAATTCTTAGTCATCAGAAAGGCTCAAAGCTTTTGGAACATCTAAGCCTAGACTTTGAGGTAATGGAGTTTTGACTGTTACAAACACAAAGAACATTTTGTGCAGCTGGATAAGGTAAGACTCAAAATTTGATAAGCGGACGAAAACAAGGATCGCATCTGTATAAACTACAGAAGCTTAACGTGCCAGGAAACCTTTCCTTTTCCAGTCAGCTATGCAGAAATAAGATGCAAATACAGATTGTAAAAGAGGTGTTTTTGCCTTTGAAAGGGAGTAAGATGGGTTCCTGAGTGCAGAAGATATTTCCAATTATGGAACATGTGAAGGGGTGGGGTCAGTAAAGGTTCTAACATCGGTCAATGGTTGTGGTCAACATGATTCCTGGGATTTGCTGGAGGCTGGGAAGAAAATAAACTGGAAATTTCAAGTATCCAGTGGCTGATAGTGGCGATATACAAAGGCACCAACTTCTGGCTTCCATCTGCTAAATGCGGTTCTGATAAAACATCACTCGGACCAGATAATGAAAAATTTCTTCACCTAGAGAGAGTGAACTTGTGGAATTCTCTACCACAGAGAGCCAGTTGAGGCCAAAACATTGTATGATTTCAAGGAGCAGTTGGATACAGCACTTGGGGCTGAAGGAATCAAAGGATACGGGGTGGGGGGAGTGGAAGCAGGAATAGGCTGATCATCCAACTCAATAGCCATGGACCATAATGAATGGTGGAGCAAGCTCGACAGCCAATGGCCTACTCTTGCTCCTATTTTCTATTTCTATGAGTCATGCTGATCAAGGGTAGAGAGGCAGTCTGTGTTCATTAAATGGAATACATAGAGGATCTCTTCAATCAAGACCTAATAGACACATTTCCGAGTTGTAAAGTCTGAAAATTTCCACTTCATTAAAAATTACCAGGCAGATACTTTAGTGGAATGAAAATACTTAGCAGGTGTGACAGGAGATACAATATATGCCCTGGCTTTTAACTGCTCCCTAACATCCAAGGCCCCGAGCAATCCTTCCAAGTAAAGCGATTTACTTGTACTTCCTTCAATTTTGCACAGTGTATTCGCTGTACACGATGCACTATCCTACATTAGGGAGGTCAGAGATCCGGTGAACACCTCCATTCAGTCTGTGTATTGCCTGTTATTTCAATTCTCCCCCTGGTTCCTGTCTGCCATTTCCATCCTTGGCTGGCTGTGGTGCTCCAGGTGAGTTCATGCAATGTAAACTGAATCTGGTATCCTACACTGTAACACTGTTTACACTTCAAAAAGGTCTTAACTGGCTGTCGAAGTACTTTAGGATGTCCAGTAGTGGTGATAGGCACTTTCTACTTGCAAATTCTTCCTTTCTAGATGGAAGCAACTGCTCACCTTTCTGGCTATTGTTTTGTCTCGTTAGTTCATTGGTATAAACCTACCTCCAGATTGATCAACCTCTCCATCCAATGAGATCATTTTCTTTTGATCGCTATAAAACCGTCTCACTTGGGGATCACTTTAAGGCATCTTCCTAAATAAATTTCAAATGAGCACAACATGTGGGACATATGTTTCTTCCAATATCCACTTTCAATTCAGCATGTTAAAGCCTTCTGAACTCAAGAGTGAGTTCAACAATTTTGGGTCACATGCTTTGCCCCCATTTTAACTGGGGTTTCTTTGCTGGTGTGTTTCTTCCCCACCCTTCCATTTCTCTCCTATTTCTGGTACCTTGTGTTCAGACAGCAATCATGCTGCCACTCCAGCCCCCTCTTGTCTAAATACATCTTCTATTTATTTAGTTGTCCCACTAACAACCTGACTTTTTTCACACCATTGAGTCTTTTGAAATTTAATTTCTTCTGTTGTTATCTTATCACAAACCTTCCCTTTTGATTTTCTCCCCCACTCTCTCAGTTTGCCTGTTGAACGACTATTATCTGTTATATCAGGGGAGGTGATGGCCTAGTGGTATTATCACAAGACTTTAATCCAGAGACCCTCATGATGTTCTGGAGACCTGACTTCGAATCCTGCCGTTGATGGTGTAATGTGAATTCAATAAATATCTGGAATTAGGAGTCTAATGATAACCATGAAATGATTGGCAATTGTCTGGGAGAAAACCCCACCTGGTTCACTAATCCTTACCTGGTCTGGCCTACACGCGACTCCAGACTTGCAACAATGTGGTTGACTCTCAACTGCCCTCATCCTGTGAATGAATAAAGAAAATCTCTAACTTTACCTAGATCTAATAAAAGATCATAGGTTTAAGAATGTTGGGAAAAGGTGCAGGAGTAGGCCATTTCAAACCGGCTTCAGTCAGCCAGATCATGAGTGATCTTCTACCTCAATGCCATTTTTTGCACTAACCGTATATCCCTTGATACCTTTATTATCTAGAAATCCACTAACCTCAGTCTTGTGCGTACAAATGACTGAGCCTTCACAACCCTGGAGATAGAGAATTCCAAAGATTCACCACCCTCTGAGTGAAAATGTCCCTCCTCATCTTAATCGTAACTGGCCTATCCTTTATTCTGAGACTGCGCCCCTCCCCCACTACTTCTAGACAGCCCTCCCACCCCATCCCAGACAAGGGCAAGTCTCAATGAAATCATCTCTTATTTTTCTCAACTCCGGAAAGTAAACCTCCCCTCGTTGACAATTTCACCATCCCAGGGGATGATCTGGTAAACTTTCACTGTACTCCCTCTTTGGCAAGTATATCCTTCCTTTTGGGTCAGAAATTGGCTAGCTGTAAGAAGACAGAGGGTGGTGGTTGATGGGAAATGTTCATCCTGGAGTTCAGTTACAAGTGGTATACCTCAAGGATCTGTTTTGGGGCCACTGCTGTTTGTCATTTTTATAAATGACCTGGATGAGGGCGTAGAAGGATGGGTTAGTAAATTTGCGGATGACACCAAAGTTGGTGGAGTTGTGGATAGTGCGGAAGGATGTTGCAGGTTACAGAGGGACATAGATAAGCTGCAGAGCTGGGCTGAGAGGTGGCAAATGGAGTTTAATGCGGAAAAGTGGGAGGTGATTCACTTTGGAAGGAGTAACAGGAATACAGAGTACTGGGCTAATGGTAAGATTCTTGGTAGTGTGGATGAGCAGAAAGATCTCGGTGTCCATGTGCATAGATCACTGAAAGTTGCCACCCAGGTTGATCGCGTTGTTAAGAAGGCGTACAGTATGTTAGGTTTTATTGGTAGAGGGATTGAGTTTCGGAGCCATGAGGTCATGTTGCAGCTGTACAAAACTCTGGTGCGGCCGCACTTGGAGTATTGCGTACAGTTCTGGTCACCGCATTATAGGAAGGATGTGGAAGCATTGGAAAGGGTGCAGAGGAGATTTACCGGGATGTTGCCTGGTATGGAGGGAAGGTCTTATGAGGAAAGGCTGAGGG